CTCGCCAATTGCTCTTCGGATTTCTGTGATGGGAATTTTTGCGACCTTAAAATGATAAAGACCAATACCTAGCAAGTCAGGATACTTAAGATATATCAGATGTTCTAGGCCTCTTACCACATTAAAACTGCCAGTATAAATCGGCAAACATATATTTTACGCTGCAGGTTTTGTATTAAAACAATCCAAGCAAATGCAATAATGTACTGAAGTCAAGCTTCCTAAGATCACACGATAATTAATCTATTATCATTGTTAGCACGCAGTGTCGCCGCATTACGGCAAAGTTATCAAACTTGGTAAAAGAATAAATTAAAGATTTACTTCTTGCCCAAAGCCAAATCTAACGTATACTTTAGGTCAGCTTAATGAAAGATTTACGAGGCTTACAGTCGAACACTTCACAAGATAAGTTCAAACACGCAACAGATGCTAAACTGGGAAGATAGAAAATACAATACTAAGGCTAAGTTCTGGCTTTACCGCGTGACATACACCTTTTTATTTGGAAAACTCTATTTGCATCATAAACAGGTTGAAAATCGTTTCTTGATGGTCCAGACCATTCAAGAGGTCTCTTGTTTTCAGCGTCTAGATGATTCAACACGACATCTTGTACTTTGGGGCGTTTTCTCAGTATGTTACTAGTGGGAGAGTATTCATGAATTACCTTGTTTTCTTGGGCAGACCTGCCAATCAGTTAAATTTAAGTGAAACTATAGGCTTCGGTATTGACACCGTAGTGTTATTCGCATGGCTTCTCATACTTGATACAGATAAAACTCACTTTACAAAATGAAACAAGCATCAAACCTGTGGGCGTACAAGAAAAATACAGGAGTAGCAGGGGAATTGCGTTCGATAGTTAAAGCCTAGACAGATAGTATTGCCAGCAAATACAAGGGCGACAGGAATGACTACTTCTGGCTTATTGGTCGCCGTCAGCCAGTCATACCCATTCCCCGGAGTGGCTCACCCCTCGAAGGTCATACTCGCGACCTTTTTGGCCAGAGTCTAATCCCCTAACCAGTGATCCATGAGTTTGTTATGTTGCCGGTTTATGTGGCGAGGTAGTGCTATTCGCTGATGAACGTTCACTGATCGCTACCAGAACTAACTTGTCCCGACCTAAATCGACAAGAAAAAGAGCTCGCGACTCA